ACTGGCGACCTGTCCAGGGTGTACCCTGCCTCTCGCCCTATGACAGCTGGGATAGGCTCAAGCGCCCCCCGCGACCCTGAAAAGGATAAGCGGAAGCGAATGGATGGATGGATGTTGTTTACCATATTTGTCCAATTGTTCAGGTCCTATATCTAAAACAGGTGTGTGGGAGGGGCCGCCTCAGTACTTCCTGTTTATATAGGGTCATGATGTCATTGAGTGCGTCACTGGGTGAAACCAAATTAAGGGTTTTTCATTTTGCATAGTATTGTTTATTTTCTTTAAAGTAACCTTTTGATTTGTATTGTATGCAGTGTTTAACTTTTCAAACCACTTAACTGTGTAAATGAGTTTCTCAATCGGATTCATAATCTTATTCCTGTTTTTTTTGTTTGGAATCATATTGTTTGGTCTAACCTATATTTCAATGGTAGAGACTAATGAGGTTCAGGTGTGTTTAAATTCCTGTATAAAGCAAGTGAGAGTTTTACCTACCAGAGTTTTAAAATGGTATAACGGAGATGCCAGAAATAAAGTACACTTAAAAGAAACTTGACTGGTATGCTGATGCTATCACCTTCCTTGCCACTTGGTCTATACTACCTCATAAGACTCAAGAAATATAAAAGTATAAAAGTAACTCTTTCATATAAACTAAAGAAATCATGGCAATGAGTTTTTAATGACACAGTAAATGAAAAGCAAATAAATATTTGCATCTTACAGTAAATCTCATAAAAACATTCAGTTTAGGACATTACAGGATTAAATAATTTATATTGACCACATTCTAGTACCATTTTGACATTTCTTCAGTAAAGCAAATGCAGTGTTTTCACTGCTGGTATACATATGAATATATAGCTGTATGGTAGAGGCACAGGTGATTTCTCCAAAGAGTGGAGAGGCAATCCCTCAGGCTCAGGACAGAGTAATAGAAAGCCCATTATATAGTTCTGGAAATAACACAGTCATTTGTCCCTGAATTGTCCATTCTGAAAACAAATTATGAAGTCCCCCAAAGTAATTTTCTAAGTTCTTTTCAGGTCTTGCAAAGAAAACACAGTCTTATTGGTAAACTTGGTTATTGAGGGTGTCTTACTATAATTCAAGCTGGCATCTGGATAACTTTCTGGGCAGAGGGAGATATTCCTTGTGTGCATGGCCAGTATCCTGCCTGTTGCTTTTATGATTATAACTTTAAGGTCATTTTTAGGGCATTTCTGTGGAATCGCAGTTTGATACATGAAGCTGCTTTTGTCTCTAGTGGTACCTTATAGCAATGTTATGTTTGCTACATTGTGTTCAGTGCTGTGAGATTTATTTAATGTTTCAACTTTGTCTTACCTATTTTCTTCCTCAGACATCCCATGTAATGTTGACAAGCCAAGGTGCAAACTTGTTTGCAGAAAGCATTGGTATAAGCACAGTCCCCACTGAAACACTGGTGACTGAGTATGAGAGGAGAGAATGGGAGAAGCACAAGAATTACATGACTGGAGTAATAGAAGATTTCAACACTCAATGGTATGCATCTGCGGGATCAATTTCAATTCAGTTGTATTGGATTTATATAGCGCCAAATCACAACTGCAGTTGCCTCTAGGTGCTTTATATTGTAAGGTAGAGAAAACCCAAATAATCAAAAGACCAAGCAAGCATTTGGTGACAGTGGGAAGTAAAAACTCCCTTTTAAAAGGAAGAAACCTCCTGGAGAACCAGACATGAGAGGCAACCATCTGCTGCGACAGCCGGTGGGTGAGGGGAGAGAGACAGAACAGAAGACATATTGTAGAAAAGAGCATTTAATCATCGGTTATTATTAGTTATTAATAATTGAATGCAGAATGCTACATAAAGACACAGAGAGTAAACAAGGTGAATGAAGAAGAAACACCAATAGGAAACCCCCAGCAGCCTAGACCTAGGTTTATGAATTTCCAAAAACTAAAAATGATATTGATATTTATTAGGCAAATAAAGGTCACATTTTGAAATTTGGGCCAGTTTTGGCATCAACCTTACATTGATCAGTTGTCTAAGCACTGTGTGTTTTAATGAATCAAATGAGCTTCCTCCTTGTGATGCTATGTCTGAAAACATTTCAGATCTAATTTGCATTTTCTTTTGCAGCTGATTTTTTTTGAATAATATAACATTTCTTCATCCCAGGGCTCATGATACCGTTGGGGCGGTAGCTCTCGACTCTGCTGGTAATGTCGCATGTGCAACATCAACGGGAGGGATTAGGAATAAAATGGTTGGAAGAGTAGGAGACTCCCCAGTCATTGGTATGACTTCTAAAACTGCTGTTTTAACACTGACAGTAAAATGATAAAGTCAAACCAAAGACCTTACATTGTCCAAACATTTCATTTAATCATACTCTTCACTTTACTACAGGTTACTTTAGCATATTCACTGCAATCTGCAAAAAGGTGTTTTAATGTTTGCTTCTGTTGTTCACGTTGTCTCTTGTAAATAAGGCTGTGGAGGGTATGCAGACAACTTGAGTGGTGCAGTATCCTGTACCGGCCATGGAGAATCTATTCTTAAAGTCACACTGGCCAGACTGATTCTTTCAAAAATTGAACAAGGTAAAGTATCACAAACGCACACAGTTTGTTTATGGGAATTTATCAGTTCTTCATGTTTTAGTCCATTATCCTGAACAGTGCAACTCATGCAACTCATGTGAGTAATTCCAGTTTTGCAATATTGCCTCTCACAGTTATTTAGTAAATTGTGTTTCTGAGCAGATTAAGAAGATCTTAGAAGCAATTATTAAAGGAGAATGTGCTGTGAAATAACACAAGCTGAAGTTAATTTTCCATTTTTCATTAGCCGCCTGTGTTCCTATTTCTTCTCCACTTTACAGGTAAATCAGTAACAGAGGCTTCGCAGATGTCTCTGCAGCACATGGGAGACCGTGTCAAAGGAGCCGGAGGTGCAATTGTTGTTTCTCCTTCAGGCCACTGGGCTGCCACATTTACCACTGAGCGAATGGCTTGGGCTGCTGTGGAACAGGATGTACTGTGGTATGGATTAGACCCGCATGAGAGATTAAAAGAGCAGTTGCCCCAATAAAAGCAATAAAAAAATAACACTTATTTCTTCTTATTAATCACTGTGCAATGTGAGACTGCGTTATAATTTTTCTTATATAATTAAATTTTATAATTTTTAACTCACTTTTTCTAACTTTTATTAAACACATTTGCTTCAATATAAATAAAATGCATTTATTTTATTTTAAAGGTTGAATATTAAAATAAGCATTATATACATATACTGTGAAAATGTGGTAAAAAAAATTTTTTTAGAGATTGAAGTTTAGTAAGTGTTAAACATAGAAATGCATGACTCAGTGCATTCATTTGTTTTTTTTTTTGATAAGAAAATCTTTGCTCTTTAATCTTTGAATCCTGGATCACATTTCCAAGTAAAGGATGTCTGACTTCTTAAACGTTTTTCCTAAATTTTGTAATGAAAAATTACTTCAAAGTTACACTGTTTGAAAGACTATATTGAAGTAATGTTAGATCCTATTGTGGTAGGTAGAGTTGCACTGAGTGATGACTAATGGATGAATGCAATAAAGGATATATATAGTATGTGCAAATGTGTTATTTCTTTTAATGTTGATCTCTTGAATCTTAAATAACTGAAACACATCCATCCTTTTATTTAATTAATTTAATTAAGCATCCCTATTAAAGCAGACTGTATCATTCATGAGCATCTCATTCATCATTTAAACAACATTGTTGACCTTACTTAATATTTTGAAACAACTGGACTGCAAGACGCTTACATTTTTGTATTCTTTTTTAATCTTCATGTCTCGGTTATTGTGCTGGTCTGGGGTGTAAATTATATGACATCAGTTTCAAACCCAACACTATAGAAAAGAGATATTTGGATAACACACAAGATGGGTTCAAGAGATTACACCAGCAAATTGTTTTCTGAAATCTCAGTTAGTAAAACTTCACGATAAGGTTGACTCAAAAATGTCATTCATTATGTTCAAAGAAATAAATGCAACATTAACTGCCAATCTGAAGAAGTTATTTACTACAAGATTCAAATCTGCTGAGCAAAGGAGAAAGCTTCATTTATTTTCTCTAACCAAAGGATCATCAAGATTCCCATAGTCTTAGATATGACTCTGTAACCCTTTTCGCACTGATAGATATCAGGGACATTTGTCTCTCAGCTGCTCTTGTGTTTCTTTAGACCTTGGCATGATATGCTGTTTTTTTTTGTTGTTTTTTTGTTTGTTTTATCTTTTAGTCTACTTTACTTTGTCAGGCAGGTTCTAGTAAAGTGATTTCTTAATACTCAGGTCTGGCAGAAATCAACCCCAGGTGTGTCTAGAAAACATTGAACGCAGCTTTCCAAAAAATGTGGTTCACGTTTAATTCATGATTTCCAAAGAGGTGCAATTACTTTTTCACATAGGGTCAAGTAGGTTTGGATAGCTTTTTTCCCCTTAATATATGAAATTGCCATTTAAAAATTCTTCTTGTGTTTACTTACGTTCTTTGTCTAACATTTAAATATATTTGATGATCTGAAACATGGAAGTATGAGAGATATGCAAACGACTTAAGAAATAACAATCCTTGATGATCATGATTTTATATATTTTAACTCAAATGAACTCAAACATCATGAATGGTATGAGCCCTCGAAGAGTTAAACTTAAACTTTAAGGAGCTTTTGCTTGCCTTTTTCTTATATAAAAATGTTTCTATTACAGGACATGCACTCAGAAAAGAATGGCAAATCTACTTTACTAAGTAACCGACTGTTTTCAATACCAGGCTGTGTTAAATATGTAACTTTGCCAGTTTTATAAAGCGAAGTTTTCTTCGAGCCTGTCCAGCTTCTCGTGTTCTCTAAGTGCGATGGTCGACAGTTTGATAAAAACAAACCGCTTGCTCTTAGTGAAAATTAACCATCCGGACACTGACAAAGCAGACACAACAAAAACAAACCATCCAGATGTGCTCTCTCTGTACAATCGGCTGCTAAGCTACCTGTAAACACAAGCCACGTGACAACGCCGCGCTGCCTGTCAGGGACTTTGCAGCATCGGGGCGAATGACGGCTGAGTTGGAGGAAGTTACTGGGAGCTGCTTTGCTAGTATGTAACCGTACATGAGTTGGCAACAGCATCGCGACAAGAGAGGTGGGAGTGCTATAAATATGTATATGTAAAAATAACTACTTGTAAATATTTGAGCTGCAAGCGTTGGAACAGATGCATGTGGGGGGTCATCAAGTAACGTCCGCTAGCTGCACTCAGGCTACAAACAAACTTGGCAGCTAGGGCCTGTGCTATAGCCGCCTAGCTAGCTCGCCGTCGTGCATATTTATCGTCGAGCTGTCTAACCATATGTTTGCACATTTTGTTTGGCGCTTTTGAAATTTTCGGGCGCGGCTGTTTATTGATACAAATGTGCTGCCTGTAAGGCTGAATGGGTTTCAAAAAGTGAGTTAGCTTGGGTGGTAACTTCCTCCGTAAGTTACCGTTAGCTTGTTAACATACGCGATTGTCATAAGCTGACATAAACGTTAGCATGTTAACTAGCTAACAACTCATTGGCAAAACCTGGCGTCAGGAACGCCGTGCTTCTCGTGGACAGAAAGATATTTTTGGCTGAACTTAAATAAAAGCGTCCAGAGATGCGCTTTAGTTTGCTAACATTCATGTAGCGTTATTGGTTTGCACACTGATTGTGGCCTTCTCCAGGCTGTGAAGTCGTGGTGTTGCTTGATGTGAAAATAGTAGCATTTACTATTGCAAGTCGGTGGTTTTAGACATGCTTTTCTTGTATTTACATTACTCACCCGATAAAAGTCTTTGAAAATGCACAGAAACAAAAATAGCAGTGGCTAAGAAGCGTTGGGTTAACGTATTAGGACTGCAGAGTAGCTGGATGAGGCTTCCCATATGTGGAGATTTAAGGTATATACCACTTTGCTCATCAGATACAACATGTATACACTGAACTGATGGCAAAGTCTTCAGAAAGTGCACCGATCGCTCGCTGTAACTTTGTTTTTTGTTTGTTATCAGTCACAAAGTTTTCGCTGTCCCTCGAAATCAGGGAATATTTTGTGTTTTTGTTGGTTTGCTTAGTTTGTACTACACTTGTCCCCATAATTGGATGCATTCTGTGGTGCAGGGAGAAACACAAGACGTTGCTGTCTTTGAAAAACAAACAGAGAAACATATATTAACAGTTTATCAGTTGTCTGCTATTCCTGCATCTTTTCTGTGTTGTTTTTGGTGCAGGAAGGCAGCAGCATTCATGGATATTGTGGACACCTTTAACCATTTAATACCCAGTGACCAGTTGGATGACTCCCTGGTAATAGGTCAGAATTTGGAGTGTGAAGCCAGTAATGAGTTTGGGACAGGACTCAGACTGGAAGATTCACTGAAGAACATGCTCAGTGACAAAGATCCCATGTTTGGATGTGCAAGCACTCAGTTCAGTCTGCTGGATAATGAAGACCCTGCTTTTCAGATTGCTGGCTCCACAAGTATGTTTGAAGGCACAAAAAAGTGGCCAAAATGTAGATAAATCAGTGTAGATTCAAACTTTGAGTGAAAGTTAACTAACAAATGCATGTGTGGCTGCCTGGAAAAAAAAAGTCATCCACACTTTACTTGAAAAGTTGATGGTGAAAGTTTTAAATATTAAGTTGTTAATGTATAACTCAATGTATAACTCTGATTCTTCACCTACAGACTATTTTATCTGTGCTGATTTTTGCTCAGTTAGACTTTAACTCTTCAGGTGCTTCAAAAAACAAACACTGTAGAGGGTCGTCTTGTACTGAGATATGCAGGGAACATTTTCACCGTGCTTCTTTGCTTGTCAACACGTAAATATCAGCGTTAGGGTAACTGAAGGTAAATTAAAGTAGTGTTGTTTCAGTAATGATGGAGAAAAATACAAAAAATTTTTAAAGAAACAATATAAAAGGATTCAGTATTATTGTAAATGTAGCAGTGTCAGACTGCCATTGAATTTGGACTGCAGTTTTTACATTTTTTTCAAATTGTATATTTATTAAGGACATTACATTTATTTATTTTTGCTTTTGCAGGTCTCGATAGTGGTTCGGCACCCACAGGCCTCCCTGGTGAACCAGCTGTTTCAGAGAGTGCACAAGTTAAGCAACTTGATGTCAGGCAGAAGAAACGTTCACGCAGTTTAGAGAACGGTAAGTCGATGCAAGTTTATTTTCTTTCTCTTTCCACCCTGTGAGACTTTTAGGGATGTACACAACTAGATGTTTAAACATTGCTGCCCTTGTGATTTGGTTACATTTAGTATTTTTATTAATGTACAGTTGCAGTTACTGGTTCAAAGGTGTTACGACACCACAGGGCTCCAGTCCCAACAGACTGTTTTTCTCTTCTTCTCTCTCTGTTTTTTTTTTTTGTAAACAAGCAAGGGGCAAAGCAAATAGATGACAGCCGTACTAACTAATGTGGAAAAAAAAGAAAAGGAATAAAAGAGCAGCAGTGTGTCAATTTTTTTTTTAGAATAAAAAGTAGAATACCAACCTAAGCCAGATGTAACCATATTCTTTAGCCAGATGTGGACAGACAGAACCAAATATATAAAGGATACCGGTGCTAGTACTGCTAAGGTTACCCTAGCTCTGCAAAATAATCTGATATTGTGTGTGTTTGCAAAACTATTCACACTGGAACATGTTGCACATTTCACTGGGGAAGGTCCTCTAAAATACACAGGAAGTATTTATTTGGCTAATGTAGAACTTTTTCTATTTAAAGTGCACTCAGTTAATGTTTCCTATGTTTTTTTCCCCCCTGTCTTTTAGAGTAGTCGACTAGTCTGCTTTTAAAATTTAACCTTTATTTAACCAGGAAAATCCCATTGAGATTAAAACCTCTTTTTCAACGGAGACCTGGCCAAGATAGCATAATAAGATAAGATAAGATAAGATAGAACTTTATTAATCCCTCGGGTGGGTTCCTCTGGGAAATTCAATTTCCAAAAAGCACAGCACCGACAGAAGTTACAGTTACAGTATATTATATATACACACACACACACACACACACACACACACACACACATATA